TTGTCTCTTATCCACATGGTTCTCTGGTCCCCAAAAGGAAGCTTTCAGCAGTGTGCTAAGAATGGGAAATGAATCTATGAATGAAAATGGCAGGAGGGCATTCTCTATTCAGAGTTAAGTAGGAAGCTTCAAGTAGTGTCCATCTTCTCCAGAATCTGCCTAGAGGTCAATTGTCTTCACTATGTTCAATCAAAAAGAAAGGGTGAGAAAAGCCCAAATAGGAGATTAAACAAAGCTGAGGATCCATTCCCTGATCTTCCCTCCCTTCCTTGAGGAAACAATTCTAAGGAGAAGTGAGAAAGGAGGAAGATCCCTCCCGCCACCCCTTGTCATAACTGGAGCTGTATTTGAAATAAAGCTTCTCTGAGCATTCAAAGATTTTGCAAAGATATCTCTTTGTGGCGATTTTCAGGCTAGAGTTTCCATCAGTGCCAGTCTACTCAACATGCCTTGAGATTAGAGATAAGGCAACCAAAGAAATGTCTGCCTTGAATGGAGAACCATTTCATAACATTCTGATTTCTAATGTGTATGCACACAGACAATCAGACAGACAATCAAACACACACAACATGTACAGGTCAGACTCAGGAGACTTTATGATGACATTCCTTCTTTGTAAGCATGTTGTAAGCACTCCTCTCCTCTCTTCTACTTGTCATCTGAGTTTGGCAGACTTATAAAGTTGATTGATTTACCCTTTCTTCTTTTTTCTTGATTTTAAGGTGTCTAGAATCATCTCTAGCTTAGATGGGCAGCATTTAGGATAAACAAACAAACAAACAAACAAACTGTCAATTCTAGAAATGACTTGGCTGGAGTGACAATAGAGGTGGCTAGGGTAACACATGCTTCTGCTTGATACTTTTCAGATGTTTTTTTGACTGTAAGGGGAGCTGACTGTCAACACTCAAAACAAAGCAGGAGAACCATACTTTCTCCTGCTTCGTTTCTTAGTTGCCACATCAGGGGGGAGGGCAATAAAGGGCTCCAATGTGCCAGACACAACATAAACAAAGATGGTGGGAACCAAGGTCATTGCAACGGATGCTCATAGCAGCCGGAGAGAGTGACTGAGAAGCCCACCACTTTTCCAGTTGGTTAATGTGACTGGTTATATTTGGCAGAGTGGGGGGAGATTTACTCTCTTAGTTATGTTGACACGCGGGAAAAGTTTAGAGTTGGTTTCACTTTTGAACATGCTGATATGATGTACCCAATAAAAAAGAACTTTGAGCAGACCACAGGCCTTCGACTCCTAACTCAGTTGGAGGCATTACTCGAAACCATGAAGCAAACATTAAATGATCAAAGCCATTTATTAATGATATTTTTGAAAAATAATAGATTTGTAAAAGTCATTTTTAAATTTTATTTTGACATCAAATGTTCTTTGGTATTCAGATCTGCCCTAAAAATAATAATGTAGCATTTAGGGAAGAAGATGCAGCCCAACAGACCAGCACTGGAGGCCAAGATGGAGAAGACCTGAACAGCCACCGTGTACTTCCCTTTGGTGCTCAGGTAGGCAGGCACAAAGGACACCCAGACACTGCAGAAGACCAGCATGCTGAAGGAGATCAGCTTGGCTTCGTTGAAGGCCCCAGGCAGATTCCTGGCCAGAAAAGCCACCGTGAAGCAGACAGCAGACAGGAAGCCCATGTACCCAAGGGCAACATAAAACATGGCGACAGAACCTTCATTGCATTGTAAGATGATCTCTCTAAGTTGGGAGTGCATATCAGAGTCAGGGAATGGGGGAAAAGTTCCCAACCAGATGCTGCAGATGAGAGCTTGGAGACCAGAACAAGAAAGGACAATGGAGTTGGCCAAACTCTTCCCCAACCATCTCTGCACTTTATTCCCTGGTTTGGTGGCCAAGAAGGCTAACACCACTGTGATGGTTTTGGCCAAGATTGAAGAAATGGCAACTGAGAAGACAATGCTGAAGGCTGTCTGTCTGAGGAGACAGGTTACCTTCCTTGGCCGGCCAATGAACAGGAAGGAAGTCAAAATGGAAAGCAGGAGGGAGATCAGAAGGAAGTAGGAGAGTTCCCGGTTGTTGGCTTTGACAATTGGTGTTTCCATGTATTTAATGAAGATCCACAGGCCAACACCTGTGGTTAAAGAGAGGAACAAGGCAATGGAAGTCAGTATAATTCCCAGATGTTCTTTATAAGAAAGATAACTTTTAATCTTGGGGATACAGTGAACTCGATTGATGTTTGGATGTTGATCATCTGGACATTTGGTACATTTGTCTGCATCTGAAAAAGAGCAAGAATAGGACCTCAATTTAACAGGTCCTCTATTCAAATGCATTGTTTGGGTAAACTTGTGTGAATGACTGTATGTAGGTGAAGCCAATACATTTTTTCATTACCCTTTTGCTAGCACAGCTTAATATTACTTTTTTTTAATTGTTCATTGATTTCATTGACTGAGAGAGAAGAAGGAAAAAAGAAAGGATTCAAAGAAGGCAGGCAGTTCTACCCTTTTACCTTTTCACTGCTGGACCTGTTAAAAACTGGGCCCAGCCTTTTCTTAATGCTTTAAGGCACCAATGAGATCAGCTTATACTGGAATGAAGTACATGCGTGGTGGCACAGTGATTAAAATGCAGTATTGCAGGCTATTTCTGCTGATTGCTGATTGCCAGCAGTTTGGCAGTTCAAATCTAACCAGCTCAAGATTGACTCAGCCTTCCATCCTTCCGAAGTCGGTAAAATGAGGATCCAGATTGTGGCAAGAGGCTGACTCTGTAAACTCCTTAGAGGAGTCTGTAACACTGTGAAGTGATATATACAGTAAGTCTAAGTGCTATTACTATTGCTATTACCTAAGCTTGGAACTTTGGAAATGGATGAACTCCTGAGAGGTATAGGAGAAGCAATAAAAGATTTTCATGTTGCAGCACTATTAATAGATAATTACTTAAAGGATAATGAACATGTTTTTCAATCTTTCAACTAAAGATTGAAAAACAAAGCGCCTTGGTGGCACAGCAGACTAAAGTGCTGTTAAATAGCACCAGTTGCCTGCAATTACTGCAAGTTGGAATCTCACCAGGCTCAAGGTTGATTCAGCCTTCCATCCTTTCGAGGTAGGTAAAATGAGGACCCGGATTGTGGGGGGAAATAAGCTGACTTTGTATAAAAAAGAACACCGCTTAGGGGGGCTGAAAGCCCTACTAAGCAGGTATATACAAAAGTATGAAGGATATTGCTTAACACATTGTAAGCCGCCCTGAGTCTCTGGAGAAGGGCAGCATATAAATCGAACCAATAAATAAATAAATAAATCTAAAAGTTGCACTTTATCTTTGCAAACATGGTGTGCTGATTCGGAATCTACAAGGCACATAACAAATAACAGAAATTTCTTAACTCACTGTCAGCCTCCGCTTTTGCTGCTTTGGCTGGCATAGGAACCGGGAGGGGGGAGAGCTAGGGAGTTTAGGGGGGGAAGCGTGCTGTAGGAGGCGCATGGCTTCGGAAGAAAGGAAACTGAATCTTTGGAGTGGTTATCGGGTAACCGTTGTGGCATTCCTGATTGATGATGCTGCAGACGTGTTTCCACCTGACCGTGGGAGACCTTTGGATTGGATGATTTATGATGGACAGTGGGAGGGGATGCTTTCTATATGCACTTTTTGCGCCTATTGTTTTAATTTCAGTTTAGCCTTAGTTGCGTTCATTTCATTTCTAGTAAAAGTACCTGTCTCTATAAATCATGGAGTTTGGGTCATTCTTTCCTGGATTTTGAAGGAAGCACACCTGACACTCACCTTGACCAGAGTAAAACAGACAAAATCACCACAGCTAATGGGCAAATAATGGAATCAGAAGGAATAGGATATTGTTTTCTTTACTGTCCTATTTCCCAGAGTGTCACCAGAAAGATAATTGTCAGAAATGAACTTTATGTCCCTGCTCTTGAAACAAATATCTTGCTGGCGAAGAAGCTCACAAAACAAGGCAATGTAGTGACTGTTAAATGGGGCAGTTGTATTATCCCAAAAGGGGATGTCTTACTTGCAAAGGCTAAAATTACAGATGAACGGTATCAGTTAACTTCACTCAGGTGGTTAATCCTGCCAAGGAGGAAAAACATTCAGACTGCATACACACATGGCACAAAGAACATGGGCACAGAAGTCCTGACATAATAAAGAAAGACTATCCAAATACTACAAAAGAGGAAACCAGGCCACAAGAGGTTTCAATCAGGAAACAGAAGCAGTAAAGGCACCCTAGCCAAATGTCTATCCGATGTTGCTCGTGAAGCATTAAAACCCAGAGATGGGAAGGAGAATTCAAAAGAGACTGCAACCACTGCCATGGTCCCAGCCAGAGCCCCAGCAGCTCCAGTGTCAGCTCTTCAGAGAGCCAAGGTCAAAGCCACAACAGCAGAAACACCAGCTCTGCGGACACCCAAGATGTCTTGAAGAAGAGGAAAAGAAGGACAAGGAGAAGCATAAGAAGCAGATTTATAGAACTAAGATCCAAAATGGGACAAATATAAGGAGTAATTGTTGAGTGGGGGGTTTGGAATTCAGTGTTGGAATGTATTTCTATAAAACAACTACAGCAGTATTCAGCCAGGAGATGACAGTGTTTACAAGTTTGAATCTATAGTATATACTCTATGCTCCTTTGTTCTAAATAGAGTTTCCTTGTTTGCTCTGTATATATAAACATAATTTCTAACAAGAGCAATGAAGTAAATAGTAATTTGAAACATGGAAGATGTGTCGTAAAGGATAAAGAGCAAGAGATGTCACCTCTCTCACAATACTCAATGCTCAATTATCCTGTATCTTTATGCATGATCTCTATCCCTGTTTGCTTGTGCTATATACCGGATTAATCCCCAAGATCGGTTCTTATATTTCACATTCAAATATAATTTAATCAAAGAGATGGGACCCATTATTACCAATCCTTTCAAAGTCACATTCATGTAAAATCTCAGGATTTGTGGTCCTCCCCAAAGTCTGCCCATTTCTCCTGCTGTCACCCACCTTCCTCGGTGGAGATGGTTCCTTCAGGACAAGGATGACAATTGTAGCAGCAGATGGGCTTCCCTTCCTGAGCCACCTTCATGAACCCAGGAGGACAGCTTTCCACACACCTGGAAGGAGGCAGGGGCTGGCCAGAGAGAAGGAAATAAAAACACCCACAGAATGAATTATTGTATTCCTTAAGGAGGTAAAGGGAGAACTTTGGACAATTCCAGTTCAAGGCTTAGCTTGGCTATATTAAAGCCTACAATAAACTTAGAGTCCATCAGACTAATTTGGCTGCATGATGTAGGTCTGTTTATCCACTCTTCTAATTTTTCTCACACTACAATTTTATTTTACTTTCTCAATGTATCTACTCAGGAGAAAGATGAATGGATTTCTACTTTGGCAAAATCAATCATTTTGTCCTATGATTTAATTCTAGCTCCCTTGCAGAAGATTGATACACAGTTAACTGGAATAGTTAAGAATATTTTTCTCACAGACTCATGAACAACCAACCAAAAGTTAATTTTCCCCTCTGGGAAAATTGAGATGACTTCCCCAACGCTGCAATCCACTTGGTAAGACTTTGAAAAAAAATAAAGTATTTTCCAGAGGTAGTCTGCTGGGAGTTCACAGGTTTTTGGGTGAACCTCTAGCTAAGATTCTGTAGAGTTTGGAGAACCCTCAAATCCCACTTCTGGCTGGCCCCTCCCACCCCTCCCCTTCCCTCCTCTGAGTCCTCACGGGGCCCATTTTGGATGCAGGTAAGTGCAGGCCGTGCACGGAGGCTTGGGGAAGGTGAAAAACGGGCCTACCGGAAGTTTGGGAAGGCCTCCAGATGGCCTTTAGAGCCGTTTTTGCCCTCCCGGAGGTTCGAGGAAAACTGGGGGAGGGCAAAAACATAACTCCCCCACACCATGGTGCAGGAGGCCGACTAGGCCATGCCCACTCTGCCTGGTTGCCCAGCAACCAGGCAGAGAACCCCTTGCTAAAATTTTTGAAGCCCACCCCTGCTATTTTCTCTACCTTGTTCAACATTTCCACGTTTGCAATAGCATTTTGGTTCATCATGAACTTGAAATGCGAGGATCCCACACTTTCTAGATTTCCAACTGTCACTTGGCTAACAGACATATTGTGTAAAATCACCGTGTTCACAATGTCCAGGTCTGCTACCAGCTCTCCATTCTCATCCAAATAGACCCCATTGATGGAATTATTATAAAATTGAGAGGTTTGAAGGAAAGGATGAAGCTGGAATGGAAGTGAAAATGGGCAATGTTACAGTATATAAACACAGAAACCTCTCTGGCAAGACTCCTCCAACTGAGCTGGAATGAAGAATCTGAACTGAGGAATATAGAATAAAAATCTTAGAAGAACCAATAATGACTTGAAAAATAAAGATGGTGAAGGATGTCCTTTATCTCTGCCATTCATAATTGTCGCTGCAGAATTTAGAAAACCAATGGAAAGGAAAGGATACACCCAGTGTGAACTAATGAGATCCAAAGTTAAAACTTGAAAGGAAATGGATGTTGTGCATAACAACACTGAAGGAATTCTGCCAGTGAAGCCAAAATGAAGTCAGATGCCCCACATAGCAACAATGCTCTAAACAACTGGCATACAGATCAATGGGCAGATAGGAAGAGAAAAATCTTTGCTCACTTTGAGGATGAGTAAGGGGGGCTTTCTTCTACCAGTGGGTTGTGTTTATGAAACGCTGCATTGAAGTGAGGATTGGTCCCTTGGCATGGAGAAGAGACCCCAGATCTTCATTGTGAAAGATGATCTCCAGGACCAGTTAAGGTCACTTCCTTCAACTTTATTGAATATTTATGGAATATTTTATGGACCATTCTTCATTCTTGCTGCTTCTAGACTTTTTTCTCACTTACCCCCTTCATCTTCTCACTTGACCTTAGCCTGCTTAGCTTCTTGGCCAAAAGAGTCTTCTCCATATGCTGCTGTTTGATGTGATCCTTTATTATCTGTGTTTCTACTGAGAGATTAGAGCTGGGGAAGGAAAATCAAAAGGATTCTTACCCAAAGGATTAGAGTCACTCTGGATAAAGGCTGTCCTGGAGCAGAAGAGCATCCCAGGAAGTGAGAGGGTCAGAGACAGCTTAATATACACAACATACTTTTTTAGATGGTGTGTGGTGTGCTAATGGTCCTGCTTTGTAAAACAAAAAAGAGCCAGAAAAAGAAGGAGGTGGAGGAAAAATATTTTTTAACCAAAAGAAATTGGAAAAGAAATTGGAAAAGAAATAAGCAGGGTGAAATGAATTATAGAAAAGAGAGCAAGGAAAAATTGGAATTTAATCTGTTTTTTTCAGAGTAAAACTATTGTCAGAATAGTTGCACAGTTCTGACAATTGTAAACAATTGTAAAATTGTAAAATTTATTCTCAACTGTTATGGAGAGCTATGCAATAGGAAATAAGTACCTGCCATGCCTTCAGCATAGGAGTTTTCAAGTTTTTACCATATTTAAATGTCCTCCTGGATCTGGATATATAAGCAGCATTTAAGGCCCTTGCCACAGCCCAGATTGTGTTGTAGATGAAATAGTTGTCCCCAGTCAGGATTGGATCTATTTCTTCTTTCTTGAGAAACTCTATGTTTTCTCTCTGCCTGCACCGTCTCCACCCTTTCACTGAAAAGGCATTGTTGTCGTAGGAACACAAGAAGGAATTCTCTACAAAGTGTCTCATAAGAGAGTAAAATTTAAAATGCCCACCATAGTTTCCAATTTGCTTTTTCTTCATAGGAAAGGAAAATATGCTATGGATGTAATTAATACGAAAGGGTTTTTTTGACAAATAAACAGTGAAATCCCAGCGGATTGTTGTGATCAGGACTTTTCCTCTAGGAGGTTCAATAATTATTTCAAATATTTGAAACAAAACTGAAACACCTGCATTGAATGTAGTCAAGTCTGCACCATAAATAAAGACCTTCATCTTTCTCCAACTAAGGTATAAATAAAAATTTATGTTCACTTTCCAAGAAGCCGGCAAAAAGGTTTGTGATAAAACTGGGCAAATGCCATTCCTGCTCAACAGGGAAGTCATCGTCCTCATGAACCTTTGTCCATTCTCATTGTCTGGAGCAAGGAGACCCACCAAGGTCCACCTGAAATGGAGGACCAGCTTCACCATCCCCAGGTATTGGACTCCTTCAGCTGGGAGCATTGGGTGGAAGAAAGGATTTTCATCACTCACAACCTGGGAATCAAAACCATGACTGATCTGAAAAGGGGGGGGGGAGATTAACTTTGTTTTATTGGGAGATCATAGAAACAAAACCTAGCCCTAATGGAAGAATTGCTCCACTCCTTACAATGAAGAACCTTTTATAAGGAGTCTCTGGTTATTCTGTTTACATTTTTTCTCTTCTCACTTCAGTGCAGCACTTGGCTGTTGTAAAGAGCCAGAAGAGATGCACAGTCTGTATTACGAGTGTGCCAGGGAGGGGATTGTCTTCTTGGATCCTTCTCTTCCATTTGATAGAACCCTCATCCTTTCTTCGTGCAATTCCCAAAATAGAATTTTGCTCTTCATTTAGAAGAGAGGATGTCTGGCTGTAAGTTGCATGTCTAAAAATGGTCTTCCCTAAAGACTAACCTGTGGGATTTTGAAGGTTCCCAACATGGTTGAAATCTGGAAGGAGATGTCAGTATCAGCCCCTTCAAGAACAGCCACGGTGTTTCTCTGCCTTCCACAACTGTAGTTGGGAACATTGGCCTCCCCCTCCGAAAGCAGGTCCAGCAAAGCCTCCGAAGTCATTTGTGCTGTGAAATAATGGTCATAGATGTTGTATCCCAAGGTGACATTGAACAAAATGTTGGGATTCTTGTTGATTGCCTGGATTGCAAAAAGGAAGGATAGGATTTTCCAGTACTCTGTTAATGCTTTCCTAAAAGTATGAATATATTAGGACATAATCAATGGAAGTGACATTTTATTTAACTGTTCTTTCAACAATTGTATTTCTAATCCACCTACGTCTGAGAGGTTTGGAGGCATTTTCAAATGTTCAAAAAATGTTTCACCTATCTGAATGGAACTCTGGGATTCTTTCCATTTTTCTTTTATTTTTGGATACTGAATGCATATGTCTCAGTCGATCTAGTTATTGTTAGCTTTCTTTAATTCTTTTTTAAATTTATATTTATTAAGAACTTTTACAGAAATAAAATATTAATGAGAAGAATAAAGAAAGAAAGAAAGGGAGGAAGAAAAGGTCCAAGAAATTTTTAAAAAAGAAAGAAAACTGATTTCCCATTTTCTTTTGAATAGATAATTTTTTATTTCTGCAAATTCTACCTTTTTCACAATCTAGTCCTTCACTGTGGGAATTCCAGATTCTTACATCCTTGAGCATATAATAATCTCACTGCAGTTATCATATATAAAATTCATCCATTATCAATGCATTTTAATTCATTGTTCAGATGTCCCAATAAAAAAGAATCTGACTTTTTTTTTTTTTACAATTTTTAGCCTTTCAAATTCTTGCATTATTTGTCAATTTCTATTTGAAATTTCTCAGTTTCCTCACAAATCTGCCTTGCATGATAAAATATTTCCCCATGCTTTTCACAATTCCTGCATTGGTTTGAAATAAGTTTACACCTTTTTGATAGTTTCTCTGGTGTCATATACCGAGAATAGATCATTTTATTTTTTTAAAAAAATCTTAAATTATGACAGTGTAAACTGAATACCAGTTACCCCAATTCTCTGTCTCTATTTAATATCCAAATGTAATAGTGCATTCAGTCATTCAAATTTAACCTGTTCGTCTTCTGTTTGAAATCCTTAAAACTTTATACATTGTTGTTATTACATGTTCACAATTTGTACGTAATGCATTCAAATTCAGTTTAGCTTATTCTTCACATTGTCCTTATTCTTGCTGTTGTATTAACATTTCAGACTGACTTTCAATCTCTTTCTATCCCTTTGCCTATTTATCTTCTCCAATAATTAATAATTGGAAGTGTCACCTATTATTCCACATGAAATATGCAATCATTAAACGACACATAGAGACATAGACACCCACTTTGACACATAAAATAAGCAACTATGACTGTTAACAAATGGAGTAAATGCTTAAATGCTGGAGATGTTTATATGACTTGTATGCCCACAATAGAGACCTAACTAACTTTTAATTCTTTGTATGATTAGGATGCTGCCATCCACTCAAATGAGATTCACACATTTAAGAAATTCAATTGTGATCTGGGATCCATTCATTTAATTGGTGGTACAGGATAAAATTATCTCATTTTTACTTCAGAGGAAAAGTCAACATTTCTGCATTTTTCTACTGAGGCTGATGACCTTATTGGACATGAGAGTGGTAGAAGAGAAGAACCATCTTCCCTTCTCCATCCACAGTCCACCTCTGCTAAGAGGATCTCAAGAAAAGCAGATGATTCTTCTTCAAAGCCAAGAAACACAGAAGATCTTTACTGATTCCTTATTTCAGAATTTCAAATCAGGTTCATCAGCTGAAAAGGATGAGCCAAGGATGAAATGAGACAGAAAGAGAGAAAAACTAGCAGATCAAAGAGATCATTCATTGGAAGAGAGGCAGCTGGAACTTAGGGTGGAATGGAGAGGCTCTAATTCTGTGCAGGAACTTTGACGTACTGATAAATTTGAATCAAAGGAGATTTGTTGAAACTTATTGGTAGAAGCAACTTCCTTGTTGCAGAGACAATGCCACAAATGAGAAATTCTCCTGGCTTGTAATAGTTTTGTGGATGCACCTCATCCCTCTTCAGAGTCAGGAGACATTTGGCTCTGAGACTTCCCAAAACTTCCTGGGATAGCAGGAGCAGCAGAAGCAGCAACATGACTTGTGTTCCTGATGGAGTCTCCAGCCTTGCTTTGAAGAAACAATTAAATGAAGGACGAAACCAAAGCCCTCTTCCAAGACAGAAGCTCCAGGGATTTCCTATTCCAGACAGAGTCCAGACAAGCCTTCACATCTGCAGCCCTGCATGTCTTAAAATTATTCAAGGTTCTCTCTTTCTACAGGGCCATTTATGCCCCCAAGATTTTCCAGTGCAAAGAGATCAGCCAACAAGGCTTTCATATGATATATCAAAGCGAAAAATTGTTATGGCTGTGTGATATCTGAAAGCAATCCAAAATGTCTTTTGAGATTTAGCACCAAGAGAATAAATAAATCTCTATGATTTTGATAATGGCAACAAGAAAATACATCATTTCTCTAAACTCTGACTGAGTCAACAAGCAGGTGCCCAATGGGTGGAGTCAGAAATAGGGTGAATCTGTGAAAATAAGCCAAGGAACAAGAAGGGAGAACTTTCTCCCAAACATCCCTTAGAAAAACTCCTGATTCATTCAACTCTCCAAAGAGAATTTTGGGATGACTCTGAAATGTCAATCCTCAATATGGACATAGTTGATCCTGTTTGTGGTGGACTTTGGCTGCCTTTGTTAAAAGATGGGAGGTTGCTCTTGTTCACATGACTACTTCTTCTCTCTTACAATCTACCAAACCAGAACAAAATCCCCCAAAATTATTTTTTTATTCAATGTAGACATCAAAAGTTTGACTTCAGATTCTGCTATTGGGGCATTTCAGTTTTGAAAAAAGTAGCCATTTTTTATTTTAAAAAAGCTGTTCATTGTTTGTAAAGGTGGAACTAAATCACAGAAGAAACAAGAAGATGATTATGGTCAGGGACCAGTACAAAAAGAGAGATAGAAAGTACCTAGCAAAATATGTACATCTTTAGAGCTAAATTAATAAATAGGTAAAATTGGGATAGCGTAATATTTTCAGATGTAAAACCTATGAAACCTGTGGAGCTGCTCTTGGCAACTAAACCTAATAAAATCTACCTTCTATAAAACTTGTCTACTTTATTTGGCACTCTGCAGTCCTTGGTTAGGTCCAGGTAAAGAATCAGTCAGAAAATGGAGAGAGGCAAGTTATTAATTTTTTGGCATCCAATATGGTTGGCGTCACAATGAGACGGCGGGAAGTTTTCGGGGCTCCGGAACTACCACCGATATCTCCACCGCGGGGCAATCCAAATTGGATCTCACTGTCCTGTTGAGACAGTGATAGAGGAGGGCACATTCTGTTGATCCCAGGGACACCGCAAAGTCCCTGGTTGATCCAGGAGAAGCTCTTTTTTCCAGCGCTGAAGAGGCAGCCATTAAGCTGCTGAAGTTGGGACAGCCCCGAACGGAAGAGAATGAGTGAAAGTGTTACGATCTGGTGAGGGTTTTTTCTAATTTGATTTTAAAAAAACCCTGAAGAGCAAATGCAACTAGGATTTAATATAGAAGTAATTCAGCGGCGGAATCAACTTTATATGCCCAGACGTCTCACAGAAAGTGGTTCTGGGCAGTCCAATAAAAGAATAAATACATCCGAAGGCAGCTTTGTAAGGCAGCTCAGGCTGAGCTTGCACTACATGGTGTCAGGATAGTTCTGAACAATGGAGAATGTGAAATGGAAGAATGAGAAGATTGCAAAGATGATTTCCTCTGGTTTTGTTTTTTTTCTTTTTCTTTGTTGAGTCCTGTTCCTGAGCTTGGAATTTCCCACTCAACATAGAAGACTCAGAAGCTCATTTTACCATGTTCAAAAAAGTTTCCAGTTCTTGTAAAAACCTGAGAGTGAATGGGTTGCCCCATGTTTAATGCTAAAGGCCTTGAGAAGTTATAGTAGTTCTTCCAACCAGAGAAGTAGTGGATTACTCTCACTTCAAAGAGATTTATCCTATATTAATAGGATGTCACTCCTTGGTATAGTTTGGTATAGTTTCTAAATACTCCCTACCAAACTGAGGTTTGGGATGCAAGAATACAGGTCAGTTGAATTGGCTGAGAACTTCATAGCAGCACAAAAGTGGGAGAGGAAGATGCAGAAGGAGAGTGGAGAATAAGAAGAACTATCCCAGAATGTAAGAACTAACTAAGGAGTTAGAAGTGAGAAAGATCAAAGGAGTCAAGAAGACTTTATCTGCTTCCCCAACTAAAGGAAGACAATGGGAGGTCAGAGGGACCCGTAGCTGTTACAATTGTGTGGGAAATGGCTATATGTCCAAATACTGTAAAAGCCGGGGGGAAAACAGAAGGGCAAACTCCAGACTAAGTAGCAGGAACCTTACATAGAAAAGAGGAGAACTGGGAAAGAAAATTGCCTCCACTGAATTAAAAGAGGTGCTTATGGATAGCTCTGCAGACTAAACACTGTAATTTAACACCAGCTGTCTGCAGTTAAAGTAAGTTCAAATCTTGCCAGGCTCAAGGTTGACTCAGCCTTCCATCCTTTCTAAGGTAGGTAAATTGAGGACCCAGTTTGTGGGGGCAATAAGCTGACTTTGTATAAAATATACAGAAGTATGAAGGCTATTGCTTAACGCACTGTAAGCCGCCCTGAGTCTCTGGAGAAGGGCGGCATATAAATCAATTTTTTTAAAAAAAAAAACTAATAAATGCTTCTTCTTTTTATATGAGGGCATCTCAGCAAAGTCTCTTTGCATCATCTGGAAAGGCACTTGGGTGGATTTTTTTCTCTTCCTCTACCTGTCCTAGTGTTGCCCGGACTCAAAGCAATCAAATAAATTGAACAAATTACTTTTGTTCAATTAAATAAAATAGAACAAAATTTAAGGTTGACAGCCCTAATATTTAAGGAATGTTCCCTTTATCTTTTAACTGGGAGATAGTTTTGAATTACTTTCAAAGGGGAATAGCCTTGCAATATTTTATGTAGTCTAGAAGGAACCTTTCCAGATCATATTGGTCAAATGTTTTTTTCTTCATCATAATTTTAATTTTTTTTAAAATTTGAAAATACTCTAATGGAATAAAAATTAAAAATTTTAGTTTTATTCTAGCACAGAATACCAAGAGACCATCATACTGTAAAATCTGTATGAAAAATAGAGGAATGCATGTTAATACAGCCATGAGGTAAAACCCACTGGTTGCAATGTACAACTTAATTCTTTTCTCAATTCCGTCACTCCAGACTTTATTAAATACAAAAGTCCTTTCTTGAAATATTATGCCAGAAACAAAAGGGAAGAACTAAATGAAGAATCTGGGAATAGTTGTATTTCCTGCAACTGTTTAAAACTTTTTAGAGATTTCACAGTTTCCTATGTGAAGCTCAGAGACTCCTTGTCTAATATTCAGGTTGACCACAATTTTCCATGGATGGTGCATCCTAACCCATTTTCTTTGGCATTCCTTGTTTATCTTCTTAGTCTCTGCCTGAGTCCAAATGTGTGGAAAATTGTTATCCTGGATTTGTGAAACGGGCTCGGGAAGGAGAGCCTGTTTGCTGTTACCACTGTGTTCCTTGTCCAGAGGGGACCATCTCCACTCAGGAAGGTGGGTGACACCAGAGGAAATGCTATTGGATATAGACAGAGCATTTCAATCAATATGCTTTTAATAGAGACAGAATTTAATTTGACTATTCTATTGTTGTTCTTTGATTCTCAACAATTTATTCCACAATGGGAGGAATAAGAATAGGATCTTGAAGGGTGAAGAAGGAAAGATAGGAAGACATGGTAGATTGAGCAAGATTACTTCTGCCAGAGTAAATCTTCTTCTACTTGTCACTTTGGGAATGTCCTTCAAATATTATCTTTGTTGGGAACATCTGAATTCATGGAACCTTGAAGAATGGTTTCAGATCAGTGGTTCCTCCTCACCCAGAGAAATGTTACCCTACAGGCCAAAAGGTACAATAATCAACCAACCAATCAGTCATTGTTTGTTTGTTTGTTTTTTGAAGATCATAGAGCCAGATAAGCAGAAAATTGGAGGACCGTAGAGGGGGAGAGGAGTTAGTTTGCGGTTCCAGCCCAACACTGGGACTGTTTGGCCTAGCACAATTTGAACCAAAAATCCCACTGAGGAGAAACTGGAGTTCAGTACTTTATTTCTGCACATTCTGCAGTAAGGATGGATGCTCTGACCAAGTCCAAATGCTGAGGTTCCACAAACTTTTTTTTATAGTTTTATGAAATATTTCCTAGTTGTATTTCCATGAAAACTAAATTGACATTATATTAAATAAATATTGGCATTTATTTTCCTCAGATGTGGAAAAATGCACCAAGTGTCCAGATGATAAATATCCAAATGAGAAAAAAGTCCAATGTATCCCGAAAGTTATAACCTTCCTGTCTTATGAAGAACATTTGGGCATCATCCTGGTCTCCTTTGCCCTGCTTTTGTTCCTAACCACAGGCCTCATTTTAATCATATTCCTTAAATACATAGAGACTCCTATTGTCAAAGCAAACAACCGCGACCTCTCCTACATCCTCTTGGTATCCCTGCTGTTTTGCTTCCTGTCTTCTTTTCTCTTTATTGGCCAACCAAGGAAAGCTACCTGCCTTCTCCGACAAACCATGTTCAGCATAGTCTTCTCAGTAGCTGTGTCTTCTGTATTGGCCAAAACAATCACAATGGTACTGGCATTCTTGGCCACAAAACCAGGGAACAGAGTGAGGAGATGGTTGGGGAAGAGCTTGGCCAACTCCATCATTCTTTTCTGTTCTGCTGTCCAGATGTTCATCTGTGCCATGTGGCTGGGAGTTTCTCCCCCATTCCCTGACTCTGACCTGCAGTCCCAGCCTGGAGAGATCATCCTTCAGTGCAATGAAGGCTCGGTCACCATATTTTATGTTATCCTCAGCTACATGGGCTTCCTTGCTGCTATTTGCTTCATAGTGGCTTTCCTGGCCAGGAACCTGCCTGGGGCCTTCAACGAAGCCAAGCTGATCACTTTCAGTATGTTGGTCTTCTGCAGTGTCATCTCTTTCCTGCCCACCTACTTGAGCACCAAAGGAAAATTCATGGTGGCCGTGCAGGTCTTCTCCATCATGGCCTCCAGTGCTGGGCTTCTGGGATGCATCTTCTTCCCCAAGTGCTACATTATCATCCTGAGACCAGATCTAAACAGAAAGGAGCATCTAATGATAAAAATAGGGAGCTGATAATAAAATTGTTTCTCAGACTCATAACATGTAATTTTTCATTGCGGTTATTATTGGATTGTATGCTTCTTTTGCATCTTTTACAGAATAAAGGTAATTTAATAACAAACAAAAGAAAACATATGGGTGTAAGATTAATGAAATTAAAACCCAACATAATCATCAAACAGTAAATTAATTAATCATTAAAATTGTTATGTAGCCAGGGAAGGACGGGATAAGAAATAAGGTAGTTGTATTAAGATAAGATGGCTGAAGAGAAGAGACAAGATTCCCTAAAGAGAAGGGGAAGGAGTCTTTTGCCTTGGGTAGGATGAATATGGAAATCTAAGTCTGTGTGAACATGGCCTCGTTCTCTCTGTGGTAGTTCTCTAAAGTAAGGGATGGAAATAGAGCTGGTGAGATCATCCTTCAGTGCAATGAAGGCTCTGTCACAATGTTTTATGTTGTCCTCAGCTATATGGGTTTCAAGGACATTCAGATGACCTCCAGTTACAGGACTCTGTATGACCTTTTATAGTTTATCTGCTGGTGTTAGGTGCCATCATAAGTCCTTGTTGGGACTTCCAGAATTCCATGACCTCAATGTTGAGCCATCACTCTCCCAACACCCTTTCTGGACATGTCCCAAAAGGAGACACCCCACTGCAAAAAGTATCGGTGAGGTTCAACACCCTCTATGCAATCTTGATCTAGGAAAGAAAGAAGAAAAGAGCCTTAGACCAGATTTGTCTCTTATCCACATGGTTCTCTGGTCCCCAAAAGGGAAGCTTTCAGCATTGTGCCATGAATGGGAAATGAATCTATGAATGAAAATGGCAGGAGGCCATTCTCTATTCAGAGTTAAGTAGGAAGTTAAGATGGACTTCAAGTTGAGTCCATCTTCTCCAGAATCTTAAAATGGACTTCAAGTAGAGTCCATCTTCTCCAGAATCTGCCTAGAGGTCAATTGTCTTCACTATGTTCAATCAAAAGGAAAGGGTGAGAAAAGCCCAAATAGGAGAGTAAACAAAGCTGAGGATCCATTCCCTGATCTTCCCTCCCTTCCTTGAGGAAACAACTCTAAGGAGAAGTGAGAAAGAAGAAAGTTCCCTCCCCCCACCCCTTGTCATAACTGGAGCTGTATTTGAAATAAAGCTTCTCTGTGCATTCAAAGGTTTTGCAAAGACATCTCTTTGTGGCGATTTTCAGCCTAGAGTTTCCATCAGTGCCAGTCTACTCAACATGCCTTGAGATTAGAGATAAGGCAACCAAAGAAATGTCTACCTTGAATGGAGAACCATTTCATAACATTCTGATCTCTGATGTGTATGCACACAGACAATCAGACAGACAATCACACACACACACCATGTACAGGTCAGACTGAGGAGACTTTATGATGACATTCCTTCTTTGTAAGCATGTTGTAAGCACTCCTCTCCTCTCTTCTACTTCTCATCTGAGTTTGGCAGACTTATAAATTTGTTTAATAAAAACGTATAAGTTTTTATGAGCTTTCTATTTTGTTGTGTTTAAAATTGTAAGCCATCCAGAGTCCCCTGTGTGTGAATACAGTGTCTGTAAAAATCTGTTTATTAAATAAATATATAAATATTTATATATTTCAGAAAGGAGGGGGAAATGATGCAAAAAAGGAGAAAGTGATCCATCCATCCATATTCATAATAATGGCATAATAAATATCAGGTTACTTCTTGCCCTTTTTTTATCTGCAAAGGAAAATGGTCTTAGTTGGAAGAAACATTTGCCTCTTCAGAGTGAGGGGTTTCTATGGAAATTTCTCTGAAAAAACTTCCCATAGATCACTATGAGCTTCAAGGCCACATTCTTTATCTCTTCATTTGTCTACTAAACAGTCTCATTCATCTGTAAACTGCTTTTACCCACACTAAAAATAAGACTTGGTGTTCTGCTATTGGTCTCTTTAGGAAATATAGAAGAATCTATATAGGAGTAGCTTTAGGAATAAGAGGAATACCTCCTCCCCATGTGTATCTTACTCCCTTCTTTCCCATTTTCGTCAATTTTAAACCAATGTTGGTATACTATTGATTTACCCTTTCTTCTTCTTTTTTCTTGATTGTAAGATGCCTAGAGTCATCTCTAGCTTAGATGGGCAGCATTTAGGATAAAGAAACAAACAAACAAACTGTCAACTCTAGAAATGACTTGGCTGGAGTGACAATAGAGGTGGCTAGAGGATAACTAACACATGCTTCTGCTTGATACTTTTCAGATGTTTTTTTGAATGTAAGGGGAGCTGACTGTCAACTCTCAAAACAAAGCAGGAGAACCATACTTTCTCCAGCTTTGTTTCTTAGTTGCCACATTTAGGGGAGAGGGCAATAAAGGGCTCCAATGTGCCAGACACAACATAACAAAGATGGTGGGAACCAAGGTCATTGCAACGGAAGCTCATAGCAGCCAGAGAGAGTGACTGAGAAGCCCACCACTTTTCCAGTTGGTTAATGTGACTGGTTATATTTGGCAGGGTGGGGGGAGTTTTATTCTCTTAGTTATGTTGACACGCGGGAAAAGTTTAGAGTTGGTTTCACTTTTGAACATGCTGATATGGTGTACCCAATAAAAAAGAACTTTGAGCAGACCACAGGCCTTAGACTCCTAAATCATTTGGAGGCATTACTCGAAACCATGAAGCAAACATTAAATGGTCAAAGCCATTTATTAATGACATTTTTGAAAAATAATAGATTTGTAAAAGTCATTTTTAAACTTTATTTTGACATCAAATGTTCTTTGGTATTCAGATCTGCCCTAAAAATAATAATTTAGAATTTAGGGAAGAAGATGCAGCCCAACAGACCAGCACTGGAGGCCAAGATGGAGAAGACCTGAACAGCCACCGTGTACTTCCCTTTGGTGCTCAGATAGGCAGGCACAAAGGACACCCAGACACTGCAGAAGACCAGCATGCTGAAGGAGATCAGCTTGGCTTCGTTGAAGGCCCCAGGGAGATTCCTGGCCAGAAAAGCCACCGTGAAGCAGATAGCAGACAGGAAGCCCATGTACCCAAGTGCAACATAAAACATGGTGACAGAACCTTCATTGCATTGTAAGATGATCTCTCTAGGTTGGGAGTTCATGTCAGAGTCAGGGAATGGGGGGAAAGTTCCCAACCAGATGCTGCAGATGAGAGCTTGGAGACCAGAACAAGAAAGGACAATGGAGTTGGCCAAACTCTTCCCCAACCATCTCTGCACTTTATTCCCTGGTTTGGTGGCCAAGAAGGCTAACACCACTGTGATGGTTTTGGCCAAGATTGAAGAAATGGCAAGTGAGAAGACAATGCTGAAGGCTGTCTGTCTGAGGAGGCAGGTCACCTTCCTTGGCCGGCCAATGAACAGGAAGGAAGTCAAAATGGAAAGCAGGAGGGAGACCAGAAGGAAGTAGGAGAGTTCCCGGTTGTTGGCTTTGACAATTGGTGTTTCCATGAATTTAATGAAGATCCACAGGCCAACACCTGTGGTTAAAGAGAGGAACAAGGCAATGGAAGTCAGGATAATTCCCAGATGTTCTTTATAAGAAAGATAACTTTTAATCTTGGGGATACAGTGAACTCGATTGGTGTTTGGATGTTGATCTTCTGGACATTTGTTACATTTGTCTGCATCTGAAAAAGAGCAAGAATAGGACCTCAATTTAACAGGTCCTTTATTCAAATGCATTGTTTGGGTAAACTTGTGTGAATGACTGTATGTAGGTGAAGCCAATACATTTTTTCATTACCCTTTTGCTAGCACAGCTTAATGTTACTTTTTTTTTAAATTGTTCATTGATTTCATTGACTGAGAGTGAAGAAGGAAAAAAGAAAGGATTCAAAGAAGGCAGGCAGTTCTACCCTTTTACCTTTTCACTGCTGGACCTGTTAAAAACTGGGCCCAGCCTTTTCTCAATGCTTTAAGGCACCAATGAGATCAGTTTATAGTGGAATGAAGTACATGCGTGGTGGCACAGTGATTAAAATGCAGTATTGCAGGCTATTTCTGCTGATTGCTGATTGCCAGCAGTTCGGCAGTTCAAATCTAACCAGCTCAAGATTGACTCAGCCTTCCATCCTTCTGAAGTCGGTAAAATGAGGATCCAGATTGTGGCAAGAGGCTGACTCTGTAAACTCCTTAGAGGAGTCTCTAACACTGTGAAGTGATATATACAGTAAGTCTAAGTGCTATTACTATTGCTATTACCTAAGCTTGGAACTTTGGAAATGGATGAACTCCTGAGAGGTATAGGAGAAGCAATAAAAGATTTTCATGTTGCAGCGCTATTAATAGATAATTACTTAAAGGATAATGAACATGTTTTTCAATCTTTCAATTAAAGATTGAAAAACAAAGGGCCTTGGTGGCGCAGCAGACTCAAGTGCTGTTAAATAGCACCAGTTGCCTGCAATTACTGCAAGTTCGAATCTCACCAGGCTTCCATCCTTTCGAGGTAGGTAAAATGAGGACCCGGATTTTGGGGGCAATAAGCTGACTTTGTATAAAAAAGAACACTGCTTAGGGGGGCTGAAAGCCCTACTAAGCAGGTATATACAAAAGTATGAAGGATATTGCTTAACACATTGTAAGCCGCCCTGAGTCTCTGGAGAAGGGCAGCATATAAATCGAACCAATAAATAAATAAATAAATCTAAAAGTTGCACTTTATCTTTGCAAACATGGTGTGCTGATTCGGAATCTACAAGGCACATAACAAATAACAGAAATTTCTTAACTCACTGTCAGCCTCCGCTTTTGCTGCTTTGGCTGGCATAGGAACCGGGAGGGGGGAGAGCTAGGGAGTTTAGGGGGGGAAGCGTGCTGGAGGAGGCACATGGCTTCGGAAGAAACGAAACTGAATCTTTGGAGTGGCTATCGGGTAACCGTTGTGGCATTCCTGATTGATGATGCTGCAGACGTGTTTCCACCTGACCGTGGGAGACCTTTGGATTGGATGATTTATGATGGACAGTGGGAGGGGATGCTTTCTATATGCACTTTTTGCACCTATTGTTTTAATTTCAGTTTAGCCGTAGTTGCATTCACTTCATTTCTAGTAAAAGTACCTGTCTCTATAAATCATGGAGTTTGGGTCATTCTTTCCTGGATTTTGAAGGAAGCACACCTGACACTCACCTTGACCACAGTAAAACAGACAAAATCACCACAGCTAATGGGCAAATAATGGAATCAGAAGGAATAGGATATTGTTTTCTTTACTGTCCTATTTCTCAGAGTGTCACCAGAAAGATAATTGTCAGAAATGTACTGTATGTCCCTGCTCTTGAAACAAATATCTTGTTGGCGAAGAAGCTCACAAAACAAGGCAATGTAGTGACTGTTAAATGGGGCAGTTGTATTATCCCAAAAGGGGATGTCTTACTTGCAAAGGCTAAAATTACAGATGAACTGTGTCAGTTAACTCCACTCAGGTGGTTAATCCTGCCAAGGAGGAAAAACATTCAGACTGCATACACACATGGCACAGAGAACATGGGCACAGAAGTC